GAGGCGCAACAGGGGATTCTAGCGGCGTTGGGAGCGCCGAAAGACGCCAAATACCGGGCCCCAGACTCGAACGGTTTCATGGGCAACAGTCTCTGGGTTGTCCCCGAGCGCAGAACGAACATTTTAATATTATATGGCCTTCGTATGTGCACCAGCTGGTTAGCTCCGGTCGTCGGTGGTTGTCGTGTCCATGTCCTACTTACTCGAATATGGCTCGCATTCCGAACATCTCAATATGAGTAAATCCCATCCAGCCCCGATACGCATCCGGCATCGTAACTTCGCGTCGGGTCTCCGCCACGCAAAAGTCCCTTTGTCATTCTAGGTAAGCGGATGCAGATTCCCACGGCTCTCATTGGCCGATTCAGAAAAGGGATCGTCCCAGGGGGGTTTGCATATCTCCCTCGATGGGATTCGTATGCTCGTCCGGTCTCCTGGCTTGTTCTACTACATAACCACCGCACCTACAGTTTGCAGAAGACGTGTGCATGTCGACAAGGAAGAATGCGGAGGAACAGGGCCTTTTTTTTCTTCCTCTTTCCCTTTCTTTCTCTCCTGCCTTTTTTCCATTTTTGAACAAGGGAGAAGAACCTTTTGGCGTCGTTTACCTCGCCTCCCTAGGTATGTCAGCGTTTTAGATGCCCTCCTCCTACTACTCTGCCAGCGTACTAATAATCGCCTCTGTTCGTGTGTCCCATAGGTACGTGGCTAGACGCGGTGTGGATTAGAGGGTGCGTGGCGAGCTCTCGCAGACTGTGTGTCCTCTGGTCTCGTCTCTAGGCCAGTCCTTTGTCAAAGAGATGCTTCGGCCAATCCATCCCCGTCGATTACGGTGCCATTAGCTTTTCAGGCCTTGTCGCCAAACCCTGCCCATGCAAATGGAGCGATGAGGTCTGCTAGCGATTTATTAGTCGACGGCCGGGAAACCCTACCACTTTGGTTCGTACCACGGCACTCAGCCTATATTTCTTGCACTCGTGATATCGAGGAGCTCTTTGGCCTGTCTCCCCCCATGCTGCCGCTTAGCTAGCCGGAGTCGAATTCCAAATCGTGTCAAAGTGGACAGATATTTTTATTACTAGGCTCCGCTACGACCAGCGCCAACGTTTCCTGTCAGAAAAGGGATTGTCGATTCGACCTACTCGCCATTACCGGGTTCGAGGTCCCTTTGACAAGTAGCCTCAGTCATGTGATATCGGCTTGCTTCGTCACATCTCACAGCGCCGTCTGACCGTATCTCGAAAAGAAATTCCGACCCTCCCGGTAATCCGGTCAGACGCACACAACAACAGGTATCTTCTTTCCCTCCCTTTCTGTGGCCTGGGCCGCCTGGGCCGGGGCATCCTCACAGCCTCTCTTCCTCTGCCGTGTCCCTGGACGACGAAACGCTAGTCGAAAGAAATAGACAAGAGAAAGAAAAGCGAGATAGCAGGGGGCAGAGAAAAGAATTAGAAAGGAAACCCCAGAAATGCCAAAAAGAGAAAGAGACAGAAAGAAACGGATCTGGGCGTTTTTGCTAACCAATACTTTCAAAAACCGAATCCTTTTTTTCCCTTGCCTTTTTTTCCTTTTGCCTCGTACCCCAAGATCGAACCGAGCCTAACTGGAACATGGCCACTGCGAGCTCCTAATGCTGTCTCAAGCAAGTCAGCTGCTTGGTACCATCGACTCCCGTGACAAGTCATATGCTACAATTGTGACCTTTTCCTCTCTCCCCTGCTCTCTTTTTGCCCCCCCCCCCCCCCTACTCGGGGGCGAAGTGTTCCTTCTCGCAAGATCGTCGCTCGGGCTCAACCGCAAGCCATGCTCAAAGTGCTCAGCTACACCGCCGCCTCTCGATCCGTCGTTAATTTACTAGCCATCGCCGTCACCACTCCATGACAGTCACCAGAGCTACTATTGGCTCTGACGCTACCGAGTGCAGCTCCAGGGGCATGAGAATGCGCGCCGTCCCTATTCCCCTGCACATACCCGAATGCCTTTCCCCTCTCCTCACCCTCCAAGTCCTATACGCCCCTCTCGTCGCCAGGACGCACGTATACAGCCTTGTAGCACCCATCGCGGATGCATGCCCATAATACCACGTCCACAGAGGAGCGCGCACTCGCTCGCTCCTTTTTCTTACACGAGGCGGTATGCCTCGCACTCTAGGTCTGACCTAAGCTGCCCTGGGCAACCACATCCGACGGCTCGGAGAGCAAAAGCTCTGCAAACAGGGAATAACTCTCATGCTATATCAACGTTCAATGCCGCGGTCGTTACCGGTTTATAGGACACGCGAGGCTGTGGCATAGGCCTGGATACCTCGACCCGGCATCCCCCAAGCAAAACATCCGAGCCCAAACCATGCCAGAATCTCCAACGGCAGCGCGAGCCTAGGACATCATCGCAATATTAGCTTTCGCGAGCCGAGTCACGTCGGGTCTGCGGAGCCACGTGCCCAGCGCATTCTGACCGGCCGGTCCCCTGCCATGTCTTGGTCCTGTCGAGCAGGAAGGGCGCGTGTCGGCGCTGTGCTATCATGCCGGCTTCGATCGCCAGGCTTCGGATGCATCGGAATGGCTAGATTGCCTCGAGAGCCCTCGCCCTTCGCCCCTTTCTCACACTTAACGGATTGATCGATTATCGACATTTAGCACTAGTTCTCTGAGGCGCTGAGTTGTTCCGCAACCATGCTAAGAGTCACAACAACTCTTTTTCCATAATTCATCCCGATACATCACCGACCTTCTCCATTTCACAAATTGAGTCCAGCCTCCATGAACTCTTATCTAGTACTCACGCAGCGCGTCCTCAACTACACGGCCAACCCACCAAATCAGTTTTAGATACGACTGGACAGTTATCCTAACCCAAAATGCAGAGCGTTGAATAGCCTTCTGCGAACACAGCATGCGACACATTGGGTCCGGGTGGCACCTAACACAATTAGCGGTAGGCATAGCGTAAAGCTGCGGGAGTGAAGCAGACTTAGGATATCCTACTGGCATTGAATGCCCACAGTCAATGATCAGCCAGACATTACCAAGCTGTCCAAAATCCATCTGTAGTACTTGTCGCCGCGCCGGGACCGTTTATCATGTTCCTCGAGCGTATTCTCGGTGCCGTCCCGGAGAGGCTCGATGCCCCATTTAGGACCCGAGGTCCTAAAAATCAACTCGTCCATCCTAGCTGTGACCACTCACTCGCTATGCCGACACTGTTTCCGAGCAAGCACGTTAAGGCGCGATAGAACTCGTCTTAGTACTGTGATTTGATTGCCCGCATAGCTGCTGCTGTTGATCGTCGATGGGCCGAACTCAACGACAGAGATTTCCCAGGGAAATTCCGTCGTGGGCTACGTAGGTTGGTAAGGTAGGATTTCCTACCTGACACCATCGTTCGTCCAATATGCGGGCCAGGCTCTTAACGGTATCCGCTCATGGGCAAACGGTCTGGTTGAGAACCGGGCGTGGTTGTGGGGAGGTACCGGAAACGCTATCAACCTGCCGCTCGGCTGCTACGACGTTACGAGCTTGCGGGCTACACAGTGTATGTACATGGCATAACCGGTAGTTGAAGCGGGTGGTGGGCTTGCCAGGAGATATGTGACGCACCGATGCTCCCGCTTCCGGCGAGCTTTGCTTGCTAGATTCGTCGGTACTCGGTTGGACCCAGCCGACAGATGACACCCTTTTTGGAACAACTCCCACTTACCAGCTGCTATCAACAACACCCTCCCCGCGCTGCCTCGGACCTATGCTCTGGAAAGGGGGCCACGATGGGACCGGGGCGTGGGCTACGGGAAGAATGGTGGGCAAGCAGGCGGAGGGGTGAACCAGGTGTAGGAAATCGGGCGTAGGGGGCGACGGCAGGGGGAAACGAGTAGAAAACGACCGCGAAGGAGGGGGGCCGAGTCAAGGCGCTGGCAAAGGCAGTTTCACGAAAGCTTTGCTCGAGGGGAAGTGAGGAGCGCGCCACAAGGAACGTAGCAAGGAGCCGTCGCCCGCCGGCTGTGACGACACGACGTCTCCCACTAAGGTTGGGTTGCGACCTGTGCCAACACTCAGCCGGAGAGGCACCTAATTTACCACCCAGGGCCCTATCCCGGGATCCCGAGTCTACCGCCGCCGACGTGCCCTGCGGTAAGAAATTCCACCACTCTGTATATACCTAGATACCCCCCTCCCCCTTATATTGTCTCTAGTCTAGTTAATTGCTAGCAACTTACAGCCGAACACAGCCTCCCTACTCCTCGAAAGTGGGTCGTGAGGGGCGAGATGATGACGAAGAGCCGCGAAGGCTATGGACCGCGTCACGGGTTCATAAGGCGGCAATGATCGTAGCAAAGCTGCTGCAAGTACGAAGAGGAAAGGGAGGGAGAGAGCCCGGGCGCGGCGCCAGCAACTCACGCATCTCATCACGTGCCCACCTGCGATTCGGCGGCTCCGTACGTGTGTTGTCGTTCCAAGGCGGATTCTCTAACGACCTGAGCAACACCAGTGCGAAGGGAAAAAAGGGCCAAAAAAGAGAACATACAACACTAGGGATTCGCTGGTCGTCACCGACCCAACTACTAATCTAGCGGTATCTGGTTTATCTAAGGGAGAGCGGACGGGATCCCGAGTTCTCCAGATCCTATGGTCGTATGTGATAGAAGAACGCCCTAACCTCGACTATTTCCCACGAACCTGGGCGGCTCGAGGGGAAAAAAAAAGATAGGGGCCTAAAAAAGAGAAGACATACAACACCGGGGATTCGCTGGTCGTCACCGACCCAACTACTAGTCCGGCGGTATCCGGTTTATCTAAGGGAGAGCGGACGGGATCCCGAGCTTTCCGGATCCTGTGGTCGTATGTGACAGAACAGTGCCCTAACTTGGGTTATATATGCCGAGCACAACCCTCTCTTCGCGTCCTGTCAACAAGGCTACAAGGTGGAGGAGGTCGGCGTTGGGCTTCCAGGGAGGTCCGCGAAGGCACGAAGCTAGTAGATTACTAGCCTATGTCTGGACTACGTGTACAGTTTTCTCTGTTTACGTCCTAGCGATCGAGTAACCGGTGAAATGCGAATAAGAGCACATATTTACCTCTTGAAAAATCTCGTAGGCAGGACTTGTCTTGCACAGCATCAGTTTACCTGCAAAAGGCTGGTAAAAGGCTCAGGCTGTCCAGCGAGAATGTCGTAATGCCACCCTGCTTCAAGTAGTGGAGGCCACGGCAGAGGAGGCCGCAACGGGGTTGATGTCTCCGATTCCGGTGAACGCTAACCCAAGGACTAGGAACAACGACTCTGAATAGCAGTCTCGCCTTTTCTTACGAGCGCCGCTAAGGCGAGCTACCTGGCGGAGGGCCCAGAGCCAAGATCGTGTCGTCGGTCCTGCGTATTATGAAGGGCTACGGCTGGCTGGAGGTCGACGGGGGCGTGATCCCGAGTTAGTGATCCCGAGCTAGTCTACCGATGCCCGTCTATAGTTTGTTGTTCATATCGGTGACACCACGCGTAGAAATCTCGGTCGACGAGCAATACGCTGCTACCATTTACAAGGGCGTGAGCGATGCGAAGGCTATTTGAGGAAGCCGCTGATTTCTTTTGGCGCACTCATTCCGGCTACACTCTGTTCTCCACCGCCAGGAACTGGAAGAGTGGTGTCTTGGTCGACGTTGCAGACATTGTTCATGTTGGTGATTGCGGGTGGCGCCCGAATGGATACGGATCAGGGTGGGCAACCAGAGGGAGATGCGCACCTGGACTGCCGACAGGTTCCGGAATCGGCCTGACCTGTGCCGGTATCACCCCCAGACTCGAGTCTCGATGCAGTCCGGTCATGTACGTGGGCAGGGCGGGCAAGCTATGGTTTCAGGCCCGCGCCTGTTCCCTTGTGAAGACCTCGACGCCGCTCCCCGCCCCCGCTCCCTCATCCTCGGGACGAGGACCGCTTAGCTCGGGGAGGCCACCTAAGGTATAGGATCGGAGTGGAGGGCGATTTCTCCCCTAGTTGGGAAGACGGGGGGAGGGCTGCTAGTATCTACCTAAGCAGGCTATGTGATTTAGCACCCGGGGGAGCGAAGAGGGGTTATATATCATAGGAGACGAGGTCGACCAGTCGTGGCTGGGACTGGCTAGAAACCTTCTCAGCATGGTGCAACCATAGCAGCGGTCGCCGGACACGCCAGAGCGCGATGTTCCCCCCAAGCAACCTACCTCTGAGAGGCAATTTCTGCGGTATGGCGTAGTCGGCCCACAGCTATTAGTTTTACTATTCCAGACGAGCTCGGCTTGAAGCGTAGGCGGCTCGAGTTGGGCATATCAACATTCGTGCTTCACTCTTTTTTTTCTTCCTTAATGAAAGATCTGATAGACTAACCAAAGAGCAGGGGAATAGAGAGCGCGCAAGGAGGGTGCTCAACGACAAGACTTCGGCCGCATACCGCCCTGTCGTTGGAGGCAAGCCGCAGATATGTCTATTTAGACATCTCCCTTCTCTTATAGTCGGGAAGAACGCCTATACCTGGGACAGACGCGTTTGTCGTGCGAGCTAAGGGCAGTCCTACCCCCTTATACATCATTGAGGGTACATGGCTAAAGGATGGAGAGGAGGCAGCCGTCCATCAGCAGCGCTGTCGCATAGAGGCTTGCCACTCACACGCCCTTGGTACTGGTATTCTCTAATTGCTCTCCACTAGGCTGGATCAGCATTCTCTAGCCGCCAACTGATCTCAGTAACTTGAAAGTGATGCCCGGCCTTTATAACCGGGGCAGATGTTACGTAGCGCAAAAGTGGCCGTCGCGCCTGGCGTAGTATGCGCGGTTGGGCCCCGAAGGAAAGCATATGAAGTGAAGGGGTTGTCCGTTGCTCCGGTATTATCGACTTAATAATAAAGAGCGTTAGGGCCGTATCAGCCACCTAGGAATGAGGCTGTCTATCATAGTTAACGTAGGTTCAAGGCTCTTCGTGGCTGATCCCCCCCATCCTCCCTCCTCTGACCCCAGAGTCGGGCTACAGGTTAAGTGAATCCTGGATAAAGCGTAAATCATCTATTGCGCGACCGGGGCAAACCGGGTTGCCATGTCTACTGACAGGTTACGGTATTCACCTGTTAAAGCGGCCTTGTCCATAGCTAGATAGCCTCATATATCGGCAATCAATCCAATGCGAAAGCCTTCAATAGTGTGCCTTGCCTCCACGGCAACATCATTTCTCTAGTGACTTCGCCTAGCAGTTGAAACCGTAGAATAGCCCTTTTTATGATTCCGTGTCACTTGGAGGTGTCTGTGTTGAGGTTATTGCTCTGGAACAGTGTCAAGAAACCATGTAATGGGGTGAAGATAGCAGAGCCCCTATCATCGACGTGGATATGGAATAGACAATCAGTACGTCTTACCTCCCTCCTTCCCGTCCCGTTAAGTATCTATACTCAGCGGTATCATCACAATAGGGGGTGGCCTAGAGTTAAGGTCGGAAATGTATTTATGGGTGCTGACTATAGCACGACGCAGCGGTGGCTAGAGAACTATTATATCCATCCTCAATACAGTCTACTTCATATGATATTTCTTGACTAGATTATAACGACAGTTACCCTGCCCCTTACAGCTTTCTATCAGAGCCCCTTAGATCGAGACGCGTAGCTAGACGAACGCAACTGGTATGAAGGACGCTATTACAGTGTTTATACAAGACATATTAGGGTTGCTTTACTATCTCGTAGGTTACCAGTCGTCCATAGAACCTCAGCCTGGAGCCTTCAGGGCTCAGATGGGATCTCGGTAGAATCGAGATACTAGGTGTAAAAAGTCACGACCGACTCTTGACGCAGAATTGCACGGTATTAAGATGTACATATCCTTGATATGGTACGGGGAAACTAGCTTATACCTTCATACACCAATGCAGGGACTTTTTCAATGTCTTATACTCCCCCCACGGGAGCAGGCAAGTTGAGTGAGAAGGCCGAACTGGAAGTATTGCGATGAGGCAAGACCTCCTCGCTCAAATTTCCACTGTAGACGAAGTTCACATATGCGAGCCGGGATAGGTTTTGTATTGTTACTCTAGCTGTCGAGTTCAAAGCACCTACGAAGTCCAGCGCTGAATTTGAGAGTAGTCCATGGAGAGATCAACTACATCAGGTTAAGAATATAGGCCAACGCGAGTGTTGAATACTCGAGGCTGCATATTCATATGCCATCACCGGCAAGCCACCCGGTATTCCCTCCCAGAGCATAAAGGTATATACTACCAAGAAGAGTTGCTACACCCATCGTACGAGTACCTTCATGGACGCACTAGCCTGGCGAGTTTCGTGAATCTAGAGAGTGAAGAGCGACAGGGTGACATGGCACAGGCAGGTGTACATCTATCAGTACGACTCGGCTACTCGCCCACATGCGTCTGCATAGACCCTATATGAATCCCGACGCTATCCCCACGGCCCACAGACATGCGATGTAAACCAGCCAGCCCCCCTTCTCTGCCCTGTAGGGCAACAAAGGTTCACTGAACCCTGCCCAGGGGGCGGGAGCGGACGATGCTCCGGGTATACATACCCGCTGGCCCAGGTAGCGGGCGTGTAAGGGTGTGGTAGGTATGAATCAACCACGTATCCCCCGTGTAACGTGGGTGCTCGTCCCCTATTATTATCCTCATACGATCCTCGCTTGCACGGTATCTTTTGCTTTTACGTGTGTAGGCAGCCCGCATAACACATAAGCAACGTGACCAGTCATATCGTCTCTGGCTCGTCACTACCTGGGAGCTGGCGTCGGGCGGCGCCAGGGATGCTAGAAGAAGCAAGTAAGTAAACAATGCTGGATCCCCCGGTCTTCTCGATCTGCGGCTCCTGTACCAACCCCGATCTGCTTTCCCTACCGAGAAACCCGGCTCTCCGCCCTCGCCAGTGACACATTACACCTATCACACACTCCCTGCCCGCCTCGGGCTGGCCTGTCACCTACGTACGTACCCTAACCCAACCGAGACTGTCACGACCGGCCGAGCCTAGCCCAATCTAGTCCAGCCCAGGCGCAGGGACGCGCTGTCCGGCTCACGGGACCTGCTCGCGCCGGCACACATGTGTATGTATGTATGTATGTATGTATGTATGTATGTATAATAGACATGCGATGGGGGTGCAGTAGTGCAAAGTTGGGCGAGCGGGAAGGACCCGAGCCCGAGGTCGGACAGGCGGGAAGAGCTCCGGCAAGCCCGGGTCACCAACCCTAAATCCACCACCGCTGCCAACTACCAGCTCCGGTGCCGCCGGGGGTGAGGAGGGCTCTGGGGCGGTCGGTTCCGAGGACCTGGCAAGTCGAGACAAGGCAGCCGGCGAGCGACAGAGATTTGGCATGAGCGCAGGTAAGCAGAAAGAAGCCAGACCGGAAAAGAAGTAAGCAAGTAAGCATGGCTCGTCACAGATGATATGTAAGCGGGCGCTCACTTGGGGGGGCCCCCAAACCCGGCCCCGCCCAGGCCATCATGGCCCAACGTAATACAGGTTATACGCCCGCGGTTTCGACCGCCGGATGAGGGCCAGGGGAGCAAGCTTGCTCACCCGCATCTTTTCCAACACACATATGTACTTAGCTGTCTTACCGCCGCATCGATGACCCCTGTCCATTACCTGATCGTATTCACATCGCCTGCTACCCCTTACCTCTCTCGCCCTCCTTACACGCCGTATGCGTACAGACGTTCCGCCCAAACGGGGGAGACTTACATGAGGCACGATGTCGGCACGATGTAGGTATACGTGTACGTACGTGAGCAAAACAAAAATGTTGGTATGACGGGGCATTCGCTGTCGAGACGAGGAACGACTAGGTGTGCTCTACGTGCCTCTCTTGTCCTGTATCACACACACACATGGTCTCTCTCTCTCTTACGTGGTACACTCGCAAAGACACGCCTGCACAAATGTATTACGCGCTTACACAAGCATCCACTCTCCCTGCTATACCTAGTCGGACAGATATCCTCCCTCAGCCGCCTAATTTCCCAACCTCGTGCCCACAGCCGTCATTGGTCCGAGTCCGAGCTCTCTCTCTCACCCTGTCACCCGCCCCTAACATGCATCGGCAGACCGCACCCGCGTAGCCAGCACCCGGCGTAGAGGGGAAGGGGGGGGGGAGCACTCTCACACCGGCGGCCCTGGCTACTGTGTAGAGGCATGTACTTGCCGTCCAGGCAGGGAGGTACGTGTACCTAGGTAATAAACCCGCAGCCGGGCCAAGGGACACGCGAGCCGTGGAGAGAGAGAGAGAGAGAGAGAGAGAGAGAGAGAGAGGAGGCATGGGAGCCGTGGTTGGAGGCGGGCCTACGCCTGGTGCGCACCTACGTGCATACTAGTATACGGCACGTACATACCGCGCCATCGTCGCCCTTCGCTCACACGCCCACCCCCTCTCCCCCCCCCCCCTCGGACCCACGTCCACGTCCACGCTCGCTGACGACATCCAAACTAACCGCACACCGTCAGCCCACCGGACGGTCCCCCTCTCCATCCCCACGTTCGCACCCATTACACCGCAGGGGACGTGCCTACGTAGGTACTACCTACCCACATAAGCGTCAGCAGCAGGTACGTGCCCACACACGACATATAGACGTCGACGTATACCTACCTATAGGTACGGGTTCCTCGTCCGCACGTATACGCCCGCCGCGGCAGGTGTACGCCTATCCGTGCCCATCGCCCGGAAAGTACAGGTAAGTCGACGGCCATCCGCGGCCGGCCATTGGCCGCTGGCCGCTCACCGCGCCGCGGGACTGCCTTCGCCGTGGAGGGTAGGGGGGTGGGCAGATGGACGCCGAGCGAGCGAGTGACGCGCCCTCGCTCCGCCCCGTCGAGGTGGCCAGAAGCAACGAGGCGAGGCACCGCGTGGGCGTCTCTCTCTCTCTCTCTCTGTCTTGCCTTGCCTCCGCTCGCCCTTTGCCCTGCCCCAGGGCGTCCCGACAGAGCGAGCAGCGGCGGGGAAGGGGGAAGGTGGAAACAAGCAGACCGGTAGGTAGGCAGGGGCGCGTGGCGCGCGCGCAGCCCAGGAGGTCACCGGGGCCGCGCCACCTCGTCTCGCGGGCACAGGCGTGTGCGGCCAACCTGGCTACTAGGTAGGTGACCCGACGGGGGGGGGGGGGGGCGTTGCTCTCTGTCAACAGTACATGCACATATCACATATGCATAATACACACACGTCGGCTGCGCACAGGCAGGTAGGTAGGCAGGGTAGACAGGTCTGCTCCGCGACGCAGACGCGGCCCCTCGACACCAACGCACCCTCCGCCGGGGCCCAGGCGGGCGGTCTGGGGGAACAGAGGGGAGGGGAGGGGAGGGGGGGGGGGGGGGGGGGGTCGGCCCTCGTCGGCTCTGCAAACGGACGCAGCGCGGCCGCGCGCTGGTAACCAACCGCGCACCTCAGACCTGGCTCTCCAACCACTCCATCTGCCTCCGCGGCACCACCACCCGTGCCCGCCTGCATGTATGTACGTAGGTATGTGCCTGTGTATCAAAACGTACGTATTCGCTCGCCGCCCGACTACCTGCTTGCCCGTTCCGGAAACCGAGGGCTTCCGTAGGGGGGAAACGCGTGCGTGGTGCGGCCAATGCGGAGAGAGCAAGAGAGAGAGCAGGTTGAGGAGAGGAGGGGAGAGGAGGCAAAAGGCCCTTGCCTCTCTCTCTCTCTCGCGCGCGCTCTCGCTCTAGCTTACTTACACCCAACAACACCTTACCTACTTACCGCTTCGTGCGACATCGCGCCCCCGTCCCCATAACGTACGTGGGTGCCGTAGACGTACCTAGTGGCACTATGAAGCTATACGGACATGGCAGGGGGGGGGGGGGGGAGGGTCTCCTAACTAGGTAGTTAGCCGGCGAGCTTGGACTGTCGTCCCCCATCCGTCTCTTGCACGATGGACTACATGCCTCCACGCCACGTCGGCTTCGGCGTCGCATAGGGGGGCATACACGCCCACGCGTGCCAACCTGCCTGCCTACCTACACACGTCCTCGCCCACCCCTATCCGGCAGGTTGCTATCACGTAGGTCGGGAGGTAGGTAGGTATCTACGCACGCACGCACGTCAGCTTCGTAGCTTACCTACACCGGGCAGCTTAGCTGCGCTGCCCTCCCCCCCCCCCGCCGATACCTCGGCAGGTTGGGGAGCCGTCCCCTTCTCTCTTTCTCTCTCTCTCTCTCTCGTAAGCCGGACGGACCACGCGATAGAGGGGCAGAGATAGATCGATAGAGAGAGAGACGCGGTAGCCGCCAGAGGGGCGAGGGCACCACGTTTCCCCCGCGAGAAGGCGACGGGGCCTGCCTCGCAGGCGTAGGTAGCCGAGACCTCGGTTCGGCGCCCAGCCAGGGAGTCGCTCGGTCGGCCACACACACACACACACACACACACACACACACATTTATCTGCCCGCCTCCCCCGCCTCCCCCCCTTTCTCCCTTTAGACCGGGCCAACTCGGCTAGATAGACGAGCGAGCGGTAGAAGCCATATTAGCGGCGGCGGCGGCGGCAGTCACCGGGAGTTTAAAAACACGCAATGCACATGGGCGATTTGCACAGGGGAACCTCGCCCGTACGGGCTCCTCCCAGCAGGCTGGACGAGACACACACACACACACACACACACAGAGAGAGAGGGGGGGGGGGAGCGAGAGTGAAGATAGCTGGCCGCTGGCAGCGCGTATCCGCCGTCTATCTATCTACTCCATCTATCTATCCTCTTGGCCCGTACACCGCACCTCCTCTCCACGCCCCTTTCGCCCGGCTCTTCGCGCGGCCCGGCCGAGCGCCGTGCCCCCCCCTCCCCCCCCCCCTCCTTTTCCCTCACCTCACCACACCTCACCTCACCTCACCTCATCCTCGCCCGTCTCGCCCCGCCTTCCCTCCTCGCTCCCGCGCCGCGCGCCGGCGTCAGGTCGCAACCGTCTGCGTATCCTGCCCTTTTTTACTCTCCCCCTCTGTCCCCCCTCGAAGCCTTCGTGGTAGAAGGGAAAAGGGGAGGGAAGAAGGGGGGGGTGGGCAGGGATAGCTTGAGAAAAGGGAAAAAAAGCCCATAAGAAAAAAAGAAAAAAAGAAACCACCTCCGCCCGGTGAACAGACGAAAGCGCTGTCTTCCCTCCAGTCGGGCAGCGGTCTGGTCTGGTCTGCCTGCCTGCCCCGTTCGCTAGATGTGTACGAATCGAGCCACACGCCCGCGCCCACACACGCCTACGTGCATCACACACACACACACACACACACACACACACCGCGCGCGCTTACCGGGTTAGACTGACCTTTCATCCCCCCCCCCCCCCTCTCCCCCCCCCTCTCCTGGCTGGCCTGGCCCGGACTATCTTCCTGGCGAGAGAGCCAGAGCCAGAGCCAGCCCCAAACTGGCACCGCGCCAGGCGTAGCGGCCAGGGCCAGGGGGCCCCGGAGCCGGAAGCCGGCGGGCGCGCAGCAGAGCAAGGAGAAGAACAAGCAGGAGAAGCAGAAGGGCAGCGCGCGGTGGCGTCGTTGGGCGCTTTGGACGTGCGCGTCGCAGTGCGCCGTTGCTTATGTACTTACCTCCTCCTCCCCCTTCACCCTTCACCCCCCCCCCCCTCTTTACCTAGGTAGGTAGGTAGGTAGGTAGGTGGACACGCAGAGTACGCTGAGGGTGGAGAGGGGAGGGGGGAAGGGGGGAAGGCGAACGGTGTGCTCGAAGGGCGGAGAGAAAAGCAAAGAAGCAGAAATGAAGGGGAAAGCTGAGAAGTAGGGTAGGGCAGGGCAGGGTAGGGTATGGCAGGGAGTCTTTCCCTCTCTCCCTGCCCCCCTGCCCGCCTCTCCTCCCTCCTATCACTTCCCCACTCCCCTTTTCGTTTCTTTGTTCTGGTGGCCCCCCCCCCTTCGAGCTGAGGTAGTTCGCGTGGCTTATTAGCTTATCTTCGCGCGAGAGCTTGTGTACAAATCCACCGTCCGCATACGTGTGTGTGTGTGTGTGCCCCCCATACGTGGTGGTGTATGTGTGTCGGCCCCGCGATCGCAGGTAAGACACAAGACACGACGGGGCAAGGCAAGGCAAAAAAGAAAAAAAAAAGCACCCGAAGCGGAAACATCACGCCGGCTTACGGCACGCTTCTTTCTGGGCGTACATCACCATCACACACCCACCACACCCACACCCGCATACACCCGTACACCCATATACGTCCGCAGGTACGTCTTGTTGGTTGGTATTGGGTCGTAGCGATTGCCCAGCCTGCCTGCTATAGTACGTCGAACGTTTCGAAGAAACACGTGCCGGCACCACCACCACCCGGCGAACAAGCTCGTTCCGCCCCCAATGACAATGCCTTGGTCATCGCTTTCAGATAGATGGCGCCTGTGTGCCGCGATCCGGATACCGGAAAATCTTCTTTTTTTCTCTGTCTGTCTCACCCTCCCCAACCCCCCCCCCCCCCCCTTCACTTCTTCACGAGCTTGTACTTCCCGCCGACGATCTCGAGCTCGCCGTCCGCCACCTTCTCGCCCAGGAACTCCTGGAGCTCCTCGCTGCTCCACGGGAACCCGTCCGCCATCAGCATCTTCATCATCATCGCGATCTGGCTCAGCGGCATCGTCGGGCTCGAGTTCGTCAGCATCCCCACGATGAACTGCCAGTACACCTGCCGCTTCTCCCGCTCCTTTTCGCTCATCCCCGGCGGCTTGGCCCGGAGCGGAGTCGTCGCCGTCACCGTGCCGGCGCCCTCGCCTCCCGACGCCCCCGCCTCCGCGGATCCTACCAGGGATGACGGCGGCGGCTGCTGCTGCTCGACGTCCGAGAGCCGCTCGATCACAGCGTAAGTATTGTTAGCCAGCCGGCGGAGCACCCGCTTCTGGACCCAGAAGCCGAGCGCCGCGGTGAGGAGGTCCTCGTCCATCTCGAGCTTCATCCACAGGTCGTCGAACGACCAGCTCGGCGCGCCCCCCTCGCCGAAGGCGTCGATGACCGCCGCCTCGTAAGTGTGCACCCGCTCGATCACCGTCCGGTCCTCGAGCTCGAGCTCCACCGTAGCCTGGCCGAGGTGGTTGAGCCACTTCATCTTGCGCGATGGCTTGAGGCGCTCAAAGATGGTCTCGTACATCTTCTGCATTTCTTCCACCTCCGCCGGCAGCGCGAACCGCTCCTCGCCGACCTCGGGCCAGTACAGCCGCGACAGGATCCTCGCGTGGATCGTCCAGACCCGGTCCACCTTGTCCGGGTGGTTGACAGCCCCGCGGTGGATGACGCCGTCGAGCCGCGCCGAGTCCTGGATGTCCTTGATCATCACGTCGCAGGCCTGCAGTGAAGACTCGCCGAAGCGCTTCTTCAGCAGGTCGAGCACGTCCACCTCCTGCTCGAAAGTCTTCTTCTCGGATAGCAGCCGCTCGCCTATGATGCCCTGAAATTCCTTAATAAAGACTTCCGGAGAGCCCAAGGCGCCGATGAGCGTCCCGATCACGTCCTCGGATTTTCGCCGCTTGTAGTTCGAGCCCGCGTCTACCGGGGGCGGGACCCAATCCAGGTCTTCCCATTCCTCATCCGGCCGCGCGAAGCCGTTGCGGCCGGGGTCTTGAAATAGCAGCTCGACGAGCTCGACGAGCTTCGTCTTACGCGCCTCGGAGTCGACCTCATCCCGATTGGCCAGCAGTCCCGTGACTATGATACGAACTGTGTCCTCGCGGGTACATAGGTACATCTGGAGGGAGTAAGCTACCCTGTCGAGCAGCACCCTGGAGTGGTCCAGCTTGTGAAACGTCCGGATCATGGCGATGTAGGTGCGTAGTATGTCCAGCGTCGAGCGCCCGGGGTGGAGCAGGCGCTTCTGCAGGGTGTTCGAGAAGGCGTCGGTAAGCTGGAGACGTCGCTGCGGCGTCGTGATGGCGTAGCGGAGGTCGTCGACCCCGCCCTCGCTGCTCGGCCAGCTGACGACGATGTCGAACAGCTCGTCGATGCGGAGCGCGGCGAGGCGCCCCGTGGCGATCTCCTTCCACTTCTCCAGGTCCGTCCAGGACACCTGCAGGCCGCCGCCGAGGCGGCCGGTAACCTCGACGGCCAGCCTCGCGCAGTGGTCCTCGACCCACACCGAGAGCTCCCTCACGCACCTCGGCTGGATCCTGACGCGCGCTGAAGTACGTATCCGCGACCACGCGTCATCCTCGTTGGGCTCCCACACGCCCGCGTACGTCTGCCGGATGTAGTCGACCGTGATGCCGTCGAGCAGCTCCGCGAATAGGATCTGGAACCTCTCGCCGGCGAGCCCCACGTCGCGCAGCGACTCGACGAGCTGCAGCAGCTCGCTCCTCGCCCTCTGCACCTCGTCGGCGTCCGCCCCCTCTTCTTTATCTTTGCCCCCGCCGCGACCGCTGCCGCTGGCGCGCACGCCGAGCACGGTCCGCATCAGCTGCCCGAGGACGGAGCGCAGCGCGGCCGCCAGCGCGGCGGACATGGAGTTGCCGACGAGGGCGTGGAGGTCGCGCCAGAAGCGGGCGAGCGCGCGCTCGGCGTCGGCCTCGCGCATGGCGCGCAGCACGAGGGCGAGCCCGAACAGGTACTGGCGGTGGGCGGCCTCGAGGGTGCGCACGCTGCCGAGCAGGACCTGGGCGCGGTCGGGCTGGCCCTCGCACGCGGCCAGCAGCGGCAGCACGTGGGCCGTGAAGTGCGCCCGCGCCTGCCGCGCGTGCCACCCCAGCAGGTCCGCCGTGCGCGCGGCGAGCGGGAGCCGCGTGGCCGGCTCGAGCACGTCGCGCAGCGCGTCGCGGAACTCAGCCTCGTCGACGTCGGCGTCGAGGCCGGTCTCCTGCGACGGCAGGGACCCGAACGAGTCCTCGACCGTCGCCGACGACGGCAGCGCGATCCGCGCCGTCACCACCTGCCACGCCCGGTCGAAGCGCGCCTGCTGCCCCGCGTGGGAGTTGCTCTCGGCCGCCGTCGGCAAGAAGAGCGGCGACCGCGACGTCGTGGCCGCCATGTCGGCGCCCGTAGGAGTCGTGATCGTAGTCGTAGTCGTAGTCGTAGTCGTAGCAACAAGCGTGACGCCCCCTTTTCTGGGCGGCCGGGCCGGGGGAGACCGGAAGGACGGACCCGAGAAAGAATAGGGGGAGGCGGCGGTCTCGGCGTGGAAGACGGACTGGAGGGCGCGTCGCTTGCGCGCGTTCCACTTGGCGTCTGCGGTCATCTTTTCCCGTGTTATGGCGGGTATCTGCTGGTGCTGGTGCTGACGCCTGTGTCATCCAATGGCGCCAGACGTTCGAGAGCACGCACGCCGCACATGCACAGGCCCCTTTTCCCCTTCCTTGGCTGCAGAGGGCAATTTGCTGCTGGTCTCAGGGGAACGGCGGAGGATTATTTTTAGGAGGCTGCCGTAAAGCCTCGCAGGGGAATGGCTTTCGATCGCTGCTGGCGGTGTTTTATTAGGAAGCTGTGAAAGCAGCGGAAATTGGCTCGACGTACTCGACCTCGATGCGGTATGGCGGAGAGGGACCAGGTTGGCGTCGCAGAGGTTTTGGTTAGGCCAGATTTGGCTGCGGCTGGAGGGTTGTTGGCGGTTGGACGGTCGGGCCTCTTTCAGGCAGGCGGTGAAGGCATACCCACCGTACCCCGTAGATGCGTTAGGTACCTAGGTACCTAGGCAGGTACTTATGCTAGCGCGGCGGCTACCTGCTACATGGGTAGGTACGTACCTCCAAGTAGAGGGCAAGAGAAGGTACATATAGAGGTGGGTAGAGGTAGGTAAGTACCCACGTACCTTCTAGGACCTCCAGGGCTCTCGCCCCCCGACGCGCTCGGTATACCCTCGATCCCTGAGCCTGGCATCGACTACAGGTACCACCCCGGGCACGAGGCCGAGGGCAAGTCTGCCTCGTGGCTTCGGGCGTTTATCGCAACATCCTTCCGCTACGCCCACGCCCCGGCCGTGGGCTCACGGTACATCCACATAGTACCTAGGTACATCCACAAGGTACATCCCACACGGCTCGCTGGCGGTCTCAAGTACCCGCGTACCCAGTCTTAGCGCAATTTCCTCCGCTGATACCGCATGTCGCATTCGTATGCAGGACGTTGGACCAGCACGAACCGCCTGACATCAAGTCATCTTGGAAAAGGCTCACTTATGCTATCGCCTACGTGATATATACCTCCTACAGAAGCTTGCAAGCCCGTCGCCCATCCATCCCACCCATACCCAGGCACGTCGGTACCAGCAGTCTCATCACTTCGTTCGTCCTAATCGAAAAAAGGAAAAGGAGAAGAACAAACGGTGCTTAGAATACCGGAGCGAATCAGCGCCGTCGCCATCTTCTCCTGCCATCACCTAACCGACCCTGTCGGTTCCTACCCTCCAGGCACACCACTTACACGCACTGCTACCGCGAACCACGGACCGAATACACACCTCCGCATCTGCGTGTCTGGGTCCGTAGGGAGCGACAGCGGACAACTAGGAGCGCAGTTGAACCCGACCAGATGAAAATGTCCGACTTGAGTCAACCAAACTTCCGAAGGGAGGGGGGGGGGGGGAGGATACAGGAGGGAGGGAGGGGGAGGAGAGGAGGGGGAGGGCGAGAAAGAGGAGGGCATCTGGCATCTGTCTTCGCCCACCCACCCAACCACACAACCACACAACCACACAACCACACCCCTTTCCCCCCCTTACCTTTCTCTTGCCTTGCCTTGCCTTCTCTCCTCCTTCTTCCCCTCTCCTTCTATAGAACCTTCCGGGACGACGCGGCGGCCGAGGTAATCTGCTATCTCGTCCCCATCCCCGCCGCCGGCGAATCACCAACCTTCGCCCACCTCCTGCATGCAGGTGACATGTGGGAGGGTAACGTGCAGCGGACGCAACACGAATAGAACCCACGCACTGACGGCCGGCCGGCCGGTCCAACTCAGCCTGGGCCCACGTCTTCGCTCCCCTTTCTCGGCGCCCTCTCTCGCTGCCGTCTCTCGCTCGCTGCAGGTAAGAGGTGGACAGGTAGGTAGGTACCTAAAGTAGGTAGCATTACCCGTCCCGCCGCTCCATGTACTCGACGAGTATTCTGCTACATCGCGTCACCCGCCATCCGCCTATCTGTCTCGTCCACCCACCTTCGTACCCGCATACCTAGGTTGTACCTACCCCTTCCCTCCCCCTCCCCCCCCGCCTGCGTGCGCACGCGTCACCGTCCTCGATGCGACGACGGCGCAGATCTGTCAGACGTGAGCCGTCTGCCCCGAAGTTCGCGGAGGTGAAGGGAGAGCTGAACTGTGAGACGATTTAGGGCTGACGCAAAGCCAAGACTGCTGCTACTGCTCACCATCGGCTTCTGTCTCTTATTCCATTGCTTCTTCTTCTTCTTCTACGATGCCGGATCAGACTTGCCCCTGGTCTGATCTGGCTATTTTGGTCAGCTAGATAAGCCGCCCCCCCCCCCCCCCCCCCCGGCCCTGACGGTCACGATATGCATATTATGTGGTTATGAGTGCGTAGACGGTAGCCTCCGTACTGTGCCGTCTCTTGCCACAGAGGTGCGCTTCCCCTTCATCCTTATCGTGCTATACAGGCAGATACGGGTCGCTGTATCTCTCCTCTCTCCCTTCCCCTTTCGCCCCGCAGGTACAGGAAGGGGAAGAGGGGTCCAAGGCAGCCAAAAATCGGACGTCGCGAACTATCCGACAGCTGTCCGACCCTGATCAGCAGCTACTCGAAGTATCGCTGGGTCGTAAACAGGGTAGCGGTATAGTAAGCGCAGGAGGCGCACGTTTTCGAGGAGAGGAACGCTTCTCTTTTGGTTACATTCGGGGTCAACGTAACCATCGTCTCCCACGTTGAGCCTGCAGCTCTCACACGTGTAGGTCAGGTGGTTTGGGGAGGACTGGACCGGGGTCGCCTGCGCGCTCTAAACCTGACAGGTCCTTGCAGTGTAGTAATCACCACCCATAAAGAGTTGTTTCATCTGCTGCATTGCGACGGGACCTCGTACTGGGTGTGGTGCCGTCGGTGGCGGACGAGCGTGGTTGGCCGGCTGACGGCCACTCCGTGAGTCTGGGACTTGGTTGGTGTGTTGTCTCGGCCACGTCCTGGCCGCTGGCGCATCCCACCACCCTCGCCTCGCCTATCCTCTCCCCCTCCCCCCCCAAGCAACCGGTCGGTCGAAGTGGAGCTACGGGGAGTCGGCGGTGGTAGGAAACTCGTCGTCATTCTTCTCGAGAGTGACGGAGAGGGGGTCAACATTGCCGTAAGTAGGGTCGGTCGAACAATAGTGCCAGAAATGGGGTTATGTGCATCAGCTTCCCGAAATCGCCATCCGCGGTCACATCGGATTCCTCGAACCAGTAGGCGTGTGGCACCACGAGCTGCGCCGTGCGCCTACGGCACAGCGGTCATTGTCAACACGGCGCGCGCGACGTATCGAGTGAGATCGGCACAGGCTCGAGATTGCGTTCGATGCGCATACCGATAGTGTCATTCTAGTCGCCTTGGCTAGCCGCCTTCTACGGTCTCCTAGCTCGTGTCCTTGGTGTGGTGGCTTCGGGACCGATCGAGGCCATTCTTGATGTCTCTCTCTTCCTGCGGATGGTTTCCCGGAGAGGCGCAGGGGGCTGCAGTTGAAACATTTGCGGACGCTGGCCGTGTAAGTAAAGATGCAAAATTAGAAATCGAGCAAGTCTCCCGGTTCTGACCCAGGCCTAGGATCTTTCGCACTTAGGGGTACGTCGTAGACGCGATGGGGACACCAGTTGATCGCCGCTGTCGCAATGGGCTCCCCTTATCGTCAGGGACTAATTGTCCATGTCGGCAAGTGAGCTCATCGTTCGATGAGTCCCTGTCCCACGGGACGCGCGGCGGTTGTCGTCGAAGCTCGCGACTGCGACCATGACCACGTCGTCCGAGCCCAAGCCGGCGTTACGGAGCTGGCCAGCGCGCTGCGCAAGGGTCGCACAGTCCTCTAAACTAGCAACTGGGGCGACCGACCTCGCCCTGGCCCTCACGGACCGGCTTGTCTCTCTGTCTCTGCCGCCTCTACTTTAACACCCGCCACAAGCCGTCTCCCCGCCGCGGCTATCTGGGATGTTCCCTGACCTTTTCATCACGCCTCCGAGCAACGCGCATGTACTTTTGACAGAGTGACCTCTGGAGCCTGTACCCCATATAGCAGATAAGGCATGGCAATAGCTGTGAGTAAACGGGGCTTTTTTTCTCCTCGTTCTGTTTGGGCATTTTACGGCGAGGTCCGCGGCACAGACTGCCGTACCCACCCGCGCCGACAGCGTGGAGAGTGATACGAGGTGCTGTACGTAATCAGGTGACGCGATTCGACCGATAGGCCTCTCTTCCATTGCCGGAGTTTAGGAGAATAGACGATACGCCGTGAGCGAATCACGAATATTCGCCTTCTCGTCACCGGACTCGACTATCGTCATCTCTGCACCGCGACGGCAGTTTGTTTTTTTTCCTTCGGAAAATACAGACTATTTGACGGCCACACTCTAACCCCAGGCCGCTCGCTTAACTCGCCTCTGTCGCTTTTTTCTTTCTTTTTTCTT